CCCCCCCCCCCCGCTGCAACGCCGAAACACACACTCTTTACTCTTTCTGTTCTGCTCTTTACTGATGACTGTGCAGTAACGGTACCAAGGGTACTGTATGCATAGGGCAGTACACACGTCTACACACGCCGTCTCTGCTTGGACTGAGATCGCGCTGCTGACATCAGCCCAGACCCTCGTGTAGAGCGACAACTAGTGAAACCCCCCCTAACATTACTGTAATGTAACTCCCTAACCCCCCATCAATATTGTACAGTTACACTCGACACCCGCCTCCCTCCCTCCCCCCCGCGCCCCGCGCCCCCCGGCGTTCCGCCTTCTCCCTTGTTTGTAAATAAACCTTTCTACATAGCTCCGGTTTGGTTACTGTATGTTATGAGAGCCATTCGTGCACACGAAGCACACGCATGACAGCACGATCAGCTCACCTCACTCACCGCAGACACTATCTATCCGACCGGGACAGCTCTTTTTTTTTTTTTTTTGCAAAAATATATAAATTAAATTCAACATTCAAAAAGCCACCCTTCGAAGGGTACCTTGGGCACTATTTCCTTAACGTGCTTGTTTTCGGCAATACTGTAGCATCTTGCAGAACACCGGGATATCTTACCCTTCGAGTGGTAGCGGTTTTATATGCGCAAAAAGCTGAAGAATGTAATGCAGATTGAGTAGCAAGTTGCCTTTTTGAACTGGCGTTTTTGGTTTCAAAGTTACTTTTCATGCGGTTTTCGGGTGGTTTAAAAAAGCTTCTTTTCCAGACATATCAAAAAAAAACGACCACCTACAGCAGAACATGCAATTCTCACAAACTTCTTTCTGGTCCCCCCCAAGTCAAAAAGTCAGGTATGATGGCGCGGGTATCATTTTCTTTCTTGTCGGGGAAGCCGCAAGTCATAGACGTAGAATAAAAATGGTCCGATAGGCACTAGCCTCCCTTTATAAGGTAGACAAGCATTAGGCATCAGTAAACAGAGGCATCCATCTTGCATCACAGGTCACTGTACAACTCGCAGTGGGGCAGGGCCATGAGACAAGATGAAACGCTTTCCCTTTTGTTCACGCATACCCTTCGAAGGGTACACAGTATCGTGGTACATACGTGATATGGCTACAAGCAAAGCGTGAAAAATTCCACCTTGCACTTCGCTTTCTGCACCTGAATCTCACCAACGGCCCCAAACACACTCAACCAACATGCCACGCGCCGCCCCACCCACACGCGCCGCCCCCACCGGTACCGCAAGGGGCTGAGGTCAGCAGCAGCCCTTGCAGTCAGCCCTTGCAGTACCGGTCGAGCCAGTCGGTCATTTCGGCGAGCACATGCAGCACCGACTCCCTCGCGCGGTACCCGTGCCCCTCGTGCGGCAGGGACACGTACCGGCACACCTTTCCGTGTCCCTTGAGCGCCTGGTAGAGGCGCTCGCTCTGCATGGGGAACGTGCCTGCGTTCTGGTCGGCGTCGCCGTGCGTCAGCAGCAGCGGCTTCTGCACGCGGTCGGCGTACATGTACGGCGACATCCGCTCGTACACGCGCCGCGCCTCCCACAGCGTCCGCTCCTCGCTCTGGAACCCGAACGGCGTCAGCGTCCGGTTGTACGCCCCGGACCGCGCCACCCCGCAGCAGAACAGCTCCGGTGCGTGCGCCAGCAGGTTGACCGTCATGAACGCCCCGTACGAGTGCCCGCCGATCGCCATGCGCGCGCGGTCGCCCACCCCGCGCTGCACCAGGTACTCCACCGCCGCCTCCGCGCTCAGCACCAGCTGCTCCACGTACGTGTCGTTGGCCTCGCCCGCCCCCGACCCCACGATCGCCATCTCGGGCCCGTCCAGGATCGCGTACCCGCGCGTCAGCCAGTACAGCGGCGTCCGCGCCAGCCGCACAAACCGGAACGGCGACCCGCGCGTCTGCCCGGCAAACTGCGCAGACTTGTACTCGCGCGGGTACGCCCACATGAACACCGGTAGCGGCCCGTCCCGCTCCTGCGAGTACCCCGGCGGCAGGTACAGCGACCCGCTCAGCCGCACCCCATCAGCCCGGTCGTAGTACACCATCTCTCGCTGCACCTCCATTAGATCGGGCGCCGGATGCGCAAACTGCGTCACGGCCCGCGCGCTCCCGTTCCAGAAAGTAGCGTCCACGTGCTGCACCTCCCCCTCCACCGCCCCCTTGTCCGCCCCCTCGTCCGCCCCGCCGCCGATCGCCTCCTCCTCGTGCGACTTGATGCTGGCAAACGCCACTTCTGCTGCCTTCCTCACGTCCACCACGAAGAAGTTGGGGTTCTCCTTGGGGCTTTCGCGCCGCACCAGCACCTCGCGCGGCGCCCCCGTCCCCGCGTCCTCCTTCAGCACGGCCGCCACCGATTCCAACATGGGCGGCGAGCTCTCCCACAGCTTTGTCTTGGCCCCGGTCACCGTGTCGAACAGGCTCAGGAACGGCCTGTCCCCGTCCTTGGACGCCCCGGCCCCCTGCAGCATCAGGAACGGCCGCCCGACATCCGTGCTACCCCCGGCCTCCGCCCCCGCCTCGGCCTTGCGCCCGCTGGGGTAGATCAGCCGCATCACCCCCTTGCCCGCTGCGTTGCGTGTCGTACACACGCTGCCGGCGTCGTTGTACCGGTCTTCCCAATTGCTCACGTCAATCACCAAGCGGCGCGGCGCCTCGCCCTGCGTTAGGTCACACGCCCGCGCGCAGCACGGCCCCTGCATCTCCTCCTCGTCCACGACGGCCTCGGTGGCGTCCTCTTCGGGCGTCCTGCGCCCAGGCGCGAACAGATACGAGCGCGCGGACCGCGTCTTGTACCGCCGCTCGGAGATGAGGGCCACGGTCTCGCTCCCCCAGATGATGCCGCTGTACCGCCACGCCAGGCTTGCCAGCTTCCGCGGCGACCCGGTGAACGGCGCGGGCAGGCTGAACACGCAGTCGCGGATGTCGGCCTCAACGTTGGGGTCGCCGCCGTCCTGCGCCTCCGCCCAGTAGATGGTGGCCGGCGAGTCTGCGCGCCACCCGATGCCGCGCGGCCCTTCGCCGACGCCGTCGAAGGCGATCGGGATCTTGTCCTGCAGCGGGATCTCGGCGACGACGCAGGCAATCTCCCCGGACGCTGCGTCCCACACCTCGATCTTCCTCGGAAAGCGGCCCGCGGGCATCATGTAGGCGTACGGCGGCACCATGGCGTCGATGAGCAGGTAGGTGCCGTCCGGCGACGGCGAGGCCCTCCGGAACGCGGCCGGCGCGCCCAGCGGGCGCATCTCAAAGGCGTCCGTGTCGACCAGGCCGAGTTGGCACGTAGTGTAGTGTTCGAACAGCTTGACGTCATACCTCGACCTCAGCAAGTCCTGGAACGTGCGCGACGGGGCCGGCTTGGACGACGTGTTCTCCTGCACGACGGGCCCCACCGGTACGGGCGACATCTCCGGGGCGCGACGGTCCTCGACCACAAACTTGGCGATGATGTTGCGCGAGTCTGCGCTCCACGTGAACGGTTCACCACACACAGCATTCAAGCGAATGCCCGGAAGCACGCACTCCGCGCGGCGGGTGTCGACGTTGACGACCCACAGCTCCAGGCCGAACAGGTGGTCGTAGATGCAGAAGGCGAACCTGGAGCCATCCGGGGCCCAGCGTACATAGCCCATCTCCAGAAAGGCGGTCCTTGACGGCGGCGGCGGCAAGCCTGAGATGGGCAAGGTGGTCCTATTCGGGTCGTCGACCCTCTGCATGGACATGCCGACGTAGTAGTCGGCCCTGCTCGGGGCGTACGTATTAGCGTTGATGCGAAAGCCGGCCAAGCGAAGCTCCGGGGCGGCGACCTCCGCAATGGGGGGGAGGCTGGGCCTTTGCAGCATGACGACGCACTCCTTGAGCCTGGGCTGCAGCGACACGGACGGGTCCGAGGCGGCGTCGACGAGGGCTGCGATGTCGGGCGGCGGGACGGCGTAGCGCTGCTCCGCGTCGCCCGTTGCGGGGACAGGCGCGCCGT